TGTGACAGGACACAGGACACATATTTATACTAAAATATCAAATGATGATTTTAGTAACTGTGGTTCTTGCCGTATTTGTGAACATATCATCTTAGTACCTCATATTCAGTCTGGTTTCTTGTTACAACACTTTTTTTTTTATTATGGTGATTTGAAAACCAAAAGGAAAATAAAAAATGGCAATTCAACTGTGTTCAGGTCCACGTGGATACCAAGCATAGTTCCAAGGAATCACCTGATGAACCAATCTTCCTATCTGCATTACTGACCTACATCACTTCAGCTGATCATGGCAAAGAGCTCAAGATGGTCACTACCAAACTGGAGCCTAAAGTCCAGGTGGGCAACGTGGCAGTTTTCTTTCTGGGGGGCTTTCACCTCCCTGTCTGCATGAAGGCAGCCCCAGGACGTGTTCCAGGCAGCAAGCCCGCAGCAACCCTGGCCCTGGGAACCAGCTCAGGAGGAGATGCCAAAAGGCCAACGCTCTCCCAGGGCTCTCAGAGCAACCTTCAAAGGTCTTTAAGCTCCAAGAGTCCATTCTGATCTTCTGGTCTGCATAACCCGAGGCACAACTGCCTTCAGTTACTACCTCCTTCAACACTTCCAAGTTTTTTCAGTTCAACCTGAAGCTGAACTATAGGACATCTTTTGGAGAAAAAAAAAAAACAGTAAGGTAAATGTGGCCAGTGCTGGAGATATAAAGATTCTTCCCCCAATGGAGAGGAAAAAAAGGAACAACCTTGAGAGTCTGAAAGAAATGGCAGTGTGAAATCACAGAAGTGGTTTTTTTTTCACATTTAGACTTGACTTTCAACAAAGACAAGAGTGATCAGATCAGTGCATTTAAGATATGGTAGAGGGAAGAACAAAAATAACCAAAATCAATAATCTTTATTTCAACAATCCACGAGATCTAAAACAGATTTTGCAGGAAACCAGACAGAAATAAGTGGGGAGAAATGCAGCTTGATTTTATAAAAAATGTTAAAATGAGGAGACTTTGAATATGGAGAGAATAGTGTGACCATGAAGTCTGAGATAAAAGAAATGCCGTGTTTGGAAACCACATTCAAACATTTGCAGATGAAAAACAAACAGCAGCCTTGGGGTAGGTGATCATTAGCCTGAAATGCTGGGAGAGAGAAGGCCCTGGGTGATGGCCCCAGCGAGACGTTACACACCAACTGCTGCAGGCACCACATCAGGAGGAGGCAACTGCAGCTGCCCACTGCTTTTCTGAACTTGCCACAGCAGGTTTGCTGCTTAAGTGACGGCTGAGTAACCTCTTGCAAGCAAGTGCAACTACAGCTGCTTACCCAATGCAGCCTTGGAGAAAACACAGTTTGTGTCAGAATAATTTTTTCCCAAAGAATGAGAAAGATCTCAGCACTGCTGCACGATGCATAGCTGAACTCTCATTTGAAATACTCCGAAATTCAGTCCTGAGCCCTCATGTTCAAGAAAGATGAAGAGATAGTGAGACTAAGGTGAGAAGCTGCGGATGTTTCCAGAATGGAGAGTCCGCAAGGGCTCACGACAAAAGCTAGAGATAGGTCAGGGGTTTAACCTGAGAGAGAGGAAGAGCTATGCAAGATGGGAAGCAACACTTTAAAGGGGGAAAAATGGATACAAACTGGCAAAACATAAGCTTAGGCTGGAAATTAGAAGACAGTGCCTAATTTTTCCAGTGATGAGGTTCCAGACCAGCCTTTCTGAATAGGAAGACCAAAAATTGAATTACTTCTAAGAGGTAAGCTTGACATGTTTATGAATTTAAAGTTATATTTTGAAACATTACTACACAAAAATGAAAACTTTCATGTTCATTTGCTTACATCCACTCTCATTCTTCCCCATTACATGAAAATGTTTGTTACGATCTGTCCCATTAACACCAAAGAATCAAGCATGCTCTACTGTTCAAATGACTGATGAAAGTACCAAGTATAAAGTATAAAATACCTGAACACGCTGAAAAGCCAGCTATGAGGGCAGCATTGCTATACAAAGATCATTTGACAGTAGCTAAGAATTGTTTTTAAAAGCATAAAATAAAATACAGTGGAAACAGAACTTACATAATACTGAAATTTCCTTTTCAGAAGCAGAGTCAATATGAAAATGAATATAAACCTTGACAATGGCATTTCTGGTCATGAGAAATTTTTACCTATGACATTTCTGAACTGCCCACTGAAACAAGCAGGTATTTTGAAAAAAACAAAATGCCATAAATAAACTCAAAACAACTGTTAACTGAAGGATTCCAAGGAAGCAGTAAACAGAAATCTCTAACTTAAGAACTTGTAAATATGACAGCATGAACAGGACCCCACTAAAGATACAGAGATGTAATTAAAAAGGATTCAGGTCTTCTTTTACAAGCAGCACGTGGAAACTTGACCAAGTCCAAACGCTGCCTGCCTGCGATGACCTTGCAGCTCGATGACTTCACGGCCCTCAAACAGTCCAAGGGATCCCACCAGCTGTGAAGCACCGTTGTGCACTTCCCAGTGAGTGCAACGCCGCCTTTCCTGACCTCAGGAATAACCCCATGAGGCCTCGTGCATCCTGCCCTGCAGCGTACAGGGCTCCTCTGTGCGGTCAGGTGAAGCCAGGACTGCTGTTTTGCCCCTCAGCATTTCCAGAGGTGTATTTTACCAGTACCAGCAGGAAAAAAAGAAGTCCAGACCCAGAACTACAAGGTTTGACCCCTTCGCCTGCTTCACAAGACATTGGGTAACACCTAATAAAGATCTGCAACCCAACCGATTTCTAAGAACTAGATGGAAATAGTTGCATGGTTCTTCATCACGAGCAGGTCACAGATAAGAGCAAACCTACCCATGGGGCATTCTCAGGCAAATGAAACTTCAGAACGAGGATGGCATCTGGATCCGTGAATAAATCCCCTTTCAGAAGGGACATCAGACAAGCTGGGCTTTAGAGAGCCAAGTAGTATCAGCCAGTTTAAGCCACATTTCCTACTGGATGAAACTACATGCCCATATGAACCTACCTAAGCTACTGCCTACTCAAATCACTTAACAATGACAAAACATTTTGAAGTTATCCATGTATTTATTATAAATTAATGAAACAAAATAATGGTGACAGAGAAGTTTCCTCCTTTACCCACCCCAAAACAGTCACTTTTCATCAGCCCTGCATTGCATCATTCTACCACAGTCTTTTTCTTTGCCGTGCGTTGTTTAAAATGCCCTTTTGTATTCATCAGAGCAACCAAAACAAAGGCAGTGACTTCTCAGAAATACGCGGGTTTTTCACCAGTTCACACTTACTCACCGTTTGTTTGTATGCTTCAAAGTTTATTTGCACATCTCCAAAGGTTTGTCATGCATCTATATTTATCCAAAGGCCCTTGGAAAGATTGGCCCATGGTCACAGGGAAATCAACGTCAGTCAAGGACACAGCAAATCTAAAGGGCACTTGCTGTGGTAATTAGAAAACATAGGGTCTGTGTGTAAAATTACAAAATTTGGAATGTTGCACCACCAAGGCTCTTTGACAAAGTAACTAATAAAGAAAAAGATGTTTACAAAACAAGTAGCAACGCTAAGGTTGTGAGAAGATAGTTCAGGTTGTTATAGTAGGAAATTATGAACTTTAAATAATAAAAAAAATCCTATCTGAAAGCACCACTGCTAGAAAACTGATATTTGGGAAAAAGAGACAGCCCAGCACTGCCAATGACTGGAGATGCAGAGACAGGCACTCTGAAGGACAGGGGCACTGCCGTGTCGGCGCTTCTGCTACCAGCCACGTCACAGGGAACGTTCGCATCTTACAGGGACTGTATTTATGAGTATGCTTAAAACACCTGAATTTGAGATCAAAACAGGCCCAGTCACCTCCTTAAATATCCACTTGAAAAAAAAAGATGACCTTTATACGAAGCACTGGCTGTTAAATTCAATCTCTATAACACAACTGAAACAGATAAAGGCTTTGCAGGGTTTTTTATTTTTATTTTTTTAGATCTACACAACAGATTTCAGACCCTCTCTCTCAGATTATCAAAACGGGAGGTTTTGCTACTGTACATATTATATAAAGTGACACAGGGAAACGCCACCTTCCTCCACAAAATAACCCGCTTGAGACACGGTGAGCCCGTCCATGGGCGCTTCCACACAAACAGATCCCTAGGCAAACACGACCGTCCGCGTTCAACACCAGCGAGGAGTGCACGTGTAAACAGAGTCACCCGAACTAAAACTGAGCTTTTTAAAAACAAACAAACAAACAAATAAAAAAAAAAAAGCTCCCCCCAACCCCCCCAAAAAACCTCAATATATTATGACGTGGTCTCACGCCACGTCCAAAGCTGCATTTCTGGTATTTATTTTGCTCTCCTGATATTGCAAATTCTTTTCAAGTTGCAGTGTTTTGCACATCTGATTTCTAGTGCCATGAATTTAGAATAGCCTGAACTCACACCAGGTAATGGCAACTGTTACTATAAAAGACATTAAAGTTTCCTTAGTATATCATTATGCTGTCCATTTGGAAATAGTAGTACCAAAATGGTGTCCAGGAGCTGTGTCTGTGTTAACTTCACATAAAAGCCCAGCATGTTTACAATCATACTGTAATTTGATTATGGTACACAGGTTAACAAAAAACGTATCACAAGTGAAACTAAACATTGGATTTAACAAAAACAATATTGGCGGTGTACAACGCCTGCTCATTTTCTCCAGGAAATAATATTACACGTGTTCATCTTAGGACGATTTAGCCACACTAGAGACAGAAGTTCTGTTAAAATGCAACTGTGGTCTACGAAGACACTTATTTCAGCGCTACAGAATATTTGAAGTCTGAGGCCTACAGCCAAGGTTTAAAAATTATTTAAGATTCAAACCTCCAAAGTGTCCTACAGTCAAAATGACAGTATTAAAAAAAATTTAATTAAAAGACTGTTGTGTATAGTTTTAGCCTCTTCATACACTCTCTATTCACAGAACGGCCCAGATCACTGGTAGTAGGGTCTGTACCTGGCCTGGTCGGGGTGGTGCGGCCCCGGCAGCGGCGCCTGCGCCGGAGGCCCCTGCATCCTCGGAGGCGGCGGCGGCCCCCTCGGAGCTGGCCAGATGCCGGGGCTCATCCCGCCCGGCTGCGTGAAAGGGGGGCTCAGGGTTCCTTGGTCCTCGCTGAACTGGGGCAGAGAGCTGGGGTTGTAGTGGTGCGGAGGGGGCGCGCTGACGTTCACGGGGGGCCCTCCGTGCTGCGGAGGGGGAGGCCCCGGCGGAGGGTGATTCATGTAGGGCGGCATCTGGGCGATGATGTGTCCGGGCGGGGGCGTGATGGGCGGCGGGGCCGAGGTGAGGGGTGGTGGCGGCGCCTGGCTGTAGACCATGTGCGGGGTGCCCGCCGCCTGGGGCGGG